GCAAAGTCACCTTCAGGAACAGTGTGATCAGGACATCACCTGGCACCCCTGTCTCTGGACTCTCACTGTTGCTACCCCCACGTTGCTATGTCTTTCCAACACTGACTCAAGATGCAAAGTCAACAGGCACTTTTGGGGATGATGGTTTTTGTGGTGATGGTTTCATGGATATATACATATTTCAAAACATATCAAATTGCACATTTCAAGTATTTGTAGTTTACTGTATGTATTCATTCCTCAATAATGCTATTTAAATAATATAGTCTGGGGAGAGTCCTGGGTCCTAGAGCTGTGGGAGGGGGGCAAGGAGGGAAGTGGAAGGTGAAACAGGAGAGTAGGGGGCAAAGGTAGACAGGCCAGCTCCATGTTTGGTAGAGGCTGAATTGACCAAGAGACGCAAACTGCACCTCCTCCTCCCAGCCCCCTGCAGGGTCCTTGACCTCTGGCTGAGTCGTGGTTTGTCAATAGCAGGTTAAATCTGTAGCCGATGTTAGGTTTTGATAGAGTCACCATTTCCTCTTCCTCTTCCAGCTGCCCCTGCTCTCATCTCCTCCTCTAACTATCTTCCCCCTCTGCCCTCTGAGGAGGACCTCACCAAGCCTCGGTCTGGGAGGGGGGAGCCTCCATGAGGACACTACCCTTTAGGAGCGGCATTTAGACAAATTTCAATGGCTAGAACTTGTTTGGGAATAGCATTGCTTAAATGGGTTCCTTAGAAGCAGAGACTGAGATGTGGATTTATAGGCAAGTCATTTATTAAGCGGCCAGGAGACACAGGTAAGGGGATGGGAAGCAGGACAGGAAAGGGGGAAGCCAAGCCAGGGGGACCCTCAGACGAAAGGCCTATGAGGGTGGCTTCTGCCCGATCCCACGCGGGGAGTCCAGAGTGTAAACGCCACCTCAGATGTCCCAAGCTGAGCTGGGTTCTCATCCTGCCCTGCCCACCACCCGCTGGGAGAGGGAGAGGATGTCAACTCCCAGGCACCCCAGCCTTCCTCGCTTTATGGTGAGGCCACGCAAGCAGCCTAGGGCGGTTTCCCCAGAAGAGGTGGCGGTGCTTGCCCTGGGAGGTGGACAGGGACACAGAAATGATGAAAGAGGGTCTGGATGGAGCACCAACACTGTCTACTCCAAGCCAGTACATCCTTAAATTCTAGCAAGTCCAGGACTTGGTCAAGAGAGACAACGGAAAGGCAGCTTCATTTGGAGGAAAGGTGGGAGCCCAGAGACCCCAGACTTAATTATTACACGGTCCTTCCAGGTGGCTGTGTGCTTTCAGCCCACAGGGTAAACCGGGCCTCGCTGAACATATCTGGCAGAGTCCTTTACTCCTCACATCAGAGGCATTCAGAAAGACCAGTTTTCAAAAAGTGCTGCATCTTCCATTTTAATTTGGCTGCTAATTTTGCCCACTACTGTTATAGTCTGCTGGAAATGTATGGGGTATCAGCCTGTGGGGCCTGGGGGTGAGAGGGAGTGTGGGGAGATCAGTGTTAGAAAGAGAATCAGCTGACTGGTTCCACAGGCAGGAGCGTGCGCGGCCCAAACGGAACAGTGAGGACTGGAAATGTGTGGGATGTGCGGCCACCGGAGATCGTTCTGTCCAGTGGCCTCATTGTACAGATGGGGAAACTGAGGTGCAGCAAGGAGGGACTCTTTTCTTCTCTAGCTAACATTTCCTGAGCACCTCCCTGTGCCAGGGTTTGCACTAGGGGCTGGGAATAGGATACTAGGATGCAGGAGACTCCAACCTTTTTGTTTTAACTTCTCAACTTGAAATAATTATAGATGCACAGGGAGTTCCCAATATGGTAGGGAAAAGTCTCATGTACCCTTCACCCAGTTTCCCCCAATGGTGACATCTGAAAGAAAACTGCAGTGTCATATTAAAACCAGGAAATTGACATTGGTCCAACCCCACAAGCCTTATTCAGATTTCACCAGTGTTTACATGTACTACTCATTTGTGTGTGTACGTGTGTGCATGTGTGCATGGTTCTATGTACTGTTATCACATGTAAGGTTTGTGTGCCCATCACCACAACAGAGATACAGAGTTGTTCCATCACCACAAAGGAGCTCCCTATGCGTCCCCTCATTCCTAGCGCTTGGCCACTGCTAAACCACTTTCCATCTCAGACCTTGCTTCTGGGGGGCTCACATCCTAGGAGGGAGGGAGATGCAGATACAAATCTTGGTAATACATGGAATATTAGACATAAATATATGTAAATATAAATGCCTATATAAATATAGGAATGAAATTATACCACGACACTTGGGGTGCAGTTAATGTAACACTCCTGAGGGTCTCTAAATCAAAGTAAACCCATCAAAAGGGGGTCAGAAGTGGGACGCTTTCAGCCATGAAGAAGAATGAGGTGGTGCTGAGTGAGCTGACATGGAATGATCTTCAAAGCAGATGGCGGAAGGCAAAGGACAGAACAGGATACTCTGGCATGTGTGTGTGTGTGTGTGTTTCTCTGTAATCATGTATAATGAATACGTACACCAAGTGAGACCAGGGACCAAGGACGGAGGGAGACTCTCTTCCTCGTCTGCTCTCTCGTGCTGCTTCAGTTTTCACCACGTGCATGACTTGCTTTTATTAAAAGGAAATTAAATCGTGTTTGGACCCTCCTTACGCAAGGTTGAACAGAAATTCTGTATGGTCATATCCTTGCTTTCTTCTCTCCCCTGGGTTTGCACAGGGCCCCCTCAGCTCTTAGGAGTCTGAGGAGGCGGTCGTGCAGCCTCTTGTTGCCATGGCAGCTGTTGCTCCTGGTGACAAGATGCAGAACTGGCCTTCCCCGCTCTGTGAGGGGGCGGGGGGGAGGTTTGGACCCCCTACCTTGGGACAACAGCATCTCCACGCCAACCTGGGTCCCAAATGCTTAAAAGCTGTCTCTAACAGTGCTGTGTGTGAGTGAGTCAGCAGTGGTATTTCAGGGAGATGCTGTATTCAGTGCTCTGTGCTGTGTGGTGAACACTTTCTAAATACAAACGTTCTTCACCTCTGCCTTGGAGGACCAAGTCCCTAACCTCCTCCCCTCTGGCATAATTCCAGCTTAACTGCCTCCATTGTTTTCCAAACACAAACTCCTGTTCAGAGGTTGTCTCCAGTCACCCATTCTCCCACAAGGGCCCCCTCCCAACCCACTCGGCTTCCTCTCTCAGACTCAGAAACAGGAAGAATTGTTTATTGCTTCTTAGGGGATGTGAGATCCTGCATGATGGTAGGAAGAAAATCAGGCTACCCTCCAAGGGCTAGGGCTCCAGATAGCTTTTGTTCTTTCCTAGTGAGTCAACAAGAGTGCCAAATGACATGAATTAATTTATCAGTAAATTCTTGCAATACATTAAATTCTCAATAAGTTCTTCTCCTTCAATTCAAGAATGGGGAAGGGAACATATGTAGTGGCGACTGAAGGTTGAGTAGGAGTTCAAGAGGTGAAGAAATGAGGAGAACTATCATATGCTTGATGCTAAAACCAAGAGCCTTACTGTTTCCAGAGGTTTCCTGAACCATACAATGCTGCTGAAACTGGTAAACAGCCCTTGATGATTAAGTAGCTAGAGGTTAGAGGTTTTTTTCCTTTTCACAATTACTGATTATAGCTTTTAGCTGTTTAACTCACCCATTGTTAACTGTGCTGCTTGGGCAATATGCTCTCTGACTCCCACTAGGCTCTTATAGATGACATCTCCCTGGAGCCTGGGTCACCATGGTAACGGATGTTTGAGCTGTTCTTCAGGAATTAGAACCCCTTTGTCCACTCCAGGCTGGTGGAGATCACCAACCCATCAAGTGGGCCTGTGCAGATGCCCCATAAGTGACCTTTTGCTGTCAAGAGGCTAAAACTCCACCCCCAGATCATGCTAACACTGCCATTTTATGAACATGCGTCCTATGAAGAGGCGTGAAGTCTGACTACATTTGTGCAGATCGTCAATTACCTCCCCTCTCCTCACCTCCAATCACCTATCTCTACACTTCAGACCACTTTGACCCCCCATCCCGTAAATATCCCTGAATCTCTATTTTCAGGGAAGCGGGTTTGAAACTCATGCTCTTGCTTGCTCACTTGGCTGCCTTGTGATTAAACTCTCTCTCTGCTGCAATCTCACTGGCTCGGGGTTTGGCTTTCTGGGCAGTGGGCAAAAACGAACCTGGTGTGGTAACACTGCTGTGGTCCCAAGCCTTCCACATCTCCAGGATTTAAGGAGCAGGTTCAGGTGAACTCAGACCCTGGAGAGAGGTGACGGCCTCTCATCTGCTGGCTGGGACATGTTTGGTCAAGACGGAGCCTGTAACATGCCAGTGTGCACCGAATTGCTGGGTGTTCCACAGCTTCTCTTGTGAACCAGTTTTCTGGGGACAAGCTGGGGCTGCTGCCTTAAAGAAATGTCTTGTCATTCACGCTGTGATTCCCATGGGTGCAAACTGTACAGGGTTAAAGGAAGGGAAGGGAAGGAAAGAAGCACAAGGCAAGGTAGAGAAAGCAGGAAACACGAGGCAAGTCTGCTTTGGTGAAGAGCTCAGGCCGCCACTCATGGGCAACCAGAGACAGGCATTCTCCAAGTGTTACTGAAACCAAAGTGGGTTCTCTCCTGGCGAGTTAAATCAGACTCTCCACCAGAAGTAGTTGTCTCAGAAGATAAAGTGTACCTGCAGCAAATAGGAGACCATGAGGAATCATTTCCAGAGTCATGGCATCCCCGAAAAAGGGAAGTAGGGACTTTTATTTCAAACGGGGAATAAATATTTACAAAGAAGAGGAGGGTATTCACTTGTGCAAGCTCAGTTGGAAAACATGCTTCCATATATGCTGCAGGTTATGGTAATAAGGCCTAAGCTCCTCCTGGAGAGATCTGAGCATTAAAAATAAGGCAAAGGTCATAGGTGCAGCTCTCCTGGTGAGGCTTGGTCTGGCTCAGGGTGGTTGGTGATTGCATCTCCTTAACATAACAAAAGGAAAAGAACAATGTAGAACAACAGTTGAAATATCCAAACCCACCCTTGAGTTCCTTGGGGCAACTAGTCGGTGACACAAGGTCACACAGGGTCTGACATTCGTGGCTCACATTTCCTGCCTTTGGGACTCCCAAAGCCTGATAGTTCTTGGCACTCAACAACAAAAAGCAAGAATAATATTTTAAGTCTTCCAATGAAAAGTCTGAGTTCATAGCTATTAGTCTTATTCTAAGAACCAATTCCTAGGAAACTGGACTAAGCATAAATTACAGAGTTCTTGGATCAGCCCAAGATTTTTTTCTCACGTAAGCCACAAGTACTCCACCCTCCTTCCTCCTTCTTGCATCTTGGAGGCAGGGCTGAGCCTCATGTTTTGCAACCACCTCCTCAGTGTGGAGCCAGGGGAAGAGCCCTCTGTTAGGGGACCAGGGCTCCAGTCCAAGCTCCACCAACTCCTGAGTTACCTCCAGGAAGCCACATCTGTTACTGCCCAAGGTGGGTCATCTGCCCACTGCAAGACATGCCAATAGTAAAGAGGCAAGGTAGGAGGAGAGAAAGGGTTTCTTTATTACAGCTTGATAGCAAGAGGGAAGATGGCCAACTCATGTGCAAAAGAACCATCTTACAGAACAAAGACTACAGGCCAGTTACATATGGGGCTGGTCTCCAGGTGGGGAGGTGGCTGGTCTCTGGGTGGAGGTAGACCTCTGGTCCCAGTTCCTGATAGTCCTTTGTTTACTGGATATGCATCAGAGAATGAAGCAATGCCCTACTCCCTGATCATTCAGTTGTCATCATGATGGCTATCAGCATAGGCTCTCTGCCCGGGAGTCATCACATTCCTAAGGAACTCAAAGGAACAAAGTTATCAACTTATAACAGCTGGGAGGGGCCAAAGAATCTACAGAGCATGTCTGGGCTAGTTAATCACAGGTCATTCAAAGTTGCAATATGGTTTCTTTTCTACAATATGGCTTCCCTTGTGTCAACTTTGTGTTGAGCCAGCATCACATCCACTCCCTGGGCCTCAGTTTCCCCATCTAGAAAGGAAAGGTTGCACTAGATCTTTCATGGAAAAAAATCTGTCTACACATTTTTACTGGGGAGTCAGAATTTTTCCCATATAACTAAAAATTAATTTTAAGTGTTTGGAAGCCACTGGAATAAATAATCTTCAAGGCTGTAGCCAGACCTAATTTCTCTAGAATTTCTAAAGTCTCTAGACTTCTCCAAGCTCAAAAGTGGAGGCAGAGCAGGGAAGAGAGAGGTGGACTTCTTTGTGCAGCCAGCTTCCCACAGCAATCCCTGGCCATTGCCCTCTCTCATAAAAAGGAGTGTACCTCACACATGTCACCCAGCTCCTGAGCTCAATGCTGGTGGCAGGGGCAGCTGGCTGCTGCTGCAGTAAGTGGGACTCCTGTGCTAAGGACGCAGAAGGAGGGTGGGAGGGGAGTAGGACGACCACGGAGGAGGGGTTCTTGCCCAGCCCTGGAGCTCTGTCCCACTCTGGAGAACAGACCCCTCCAGGAGAGATGGAGAAGGGAAGGAGGAAGGGGCAGGAGCTGACATCTATCCTTTTTACAGATAAGAAAAATGAGGAACAGGGAGAGGAAGCATGGTAGCCTCATGCATCAAGTGGTGGACCCAAAGAGCCAATTCTGTGGGCGGTGGGGTGAGCTGGAGCATCAGGACCATGACCCCGGTGGGCAGTCAGGGTCACGTGTACTCAGCTATTTCTGCTTCAAGAAGACTAATCAGGATTCTTTTTCTGGGATGTGGGAAATAAAGGAGGTGGTTGAGAATAATCAAAACAACCTTTGGAATGTGTGCAAAGGAATTGAATGTCTGTTCTGGGCCAGGGGCTTCCTCCTATGGTCTTTTCTTTAATCCTCACAACTTCTTCCTCTTTATATCTGGTAGGAAGAGCAGACGTGATCGGGCTTAGAGAGGGTCAATGGGCTGCCAGGGAGGGCAGAGATCCACTCAAGACCAGCCCTTCTCACTCACAGGTCTCAGCCCCATCATGTGGCTCACTGGCCACATTTGCTAAACAGTTAATTGTCCCACATGAGTTCCTTGAGCACAAGACCATTTGTTGGTCACCCTCTCCCTGTTGTCCCTGATCCAGTGCTGGGTACAGAAGAGATGCTCAGAATCAGAGCATGAGTGTCTTCCAGCCCATTGTAAAATATCTGAAGCCGGTGTCATAAACTTGTCTTTGTCTTGTCAAGTTTTTTACCTGTATGCTCCTGAGTGCCAGAATTGCTCCCAACAGTCTTTCCTTTTAGCAGGAAATTATACTTCACTGGAGTCCTAGGAAAAAAATCACTGTGCTAGGAGTCCACTACTGGAGTAACCACAAACCCTCTGTGTGCCTCAGTTTCCCCACCTGTGCCATGAAGGGTTCCCCTGGTGAGCCTTAAGTCCTCTTCAGGGCCTAAGGACTCTGACCCTTTTATGAGTGGGGCTCCCCCCGATCCATCCCTGGAACAGGGACCAGGAGGATTTCCTTTCTAGGCTTGCTGTCCGGAAACTGCCCCACACATAACTTGTCTCTGTGGTCCTTCCTGCTTTTCTACTTAAAAATAGTCTCTGCTCGGCTTTGACCAGATCAAAGGGACACATGCTGCTGGAACTTGCTGGCCAGAGGCTGTCACTGTTAATTCTTGCCTGCTGGATGCAAGTGAATGATACCAGGTTCTGTAGATAGAATGAATAAGGAATATAAGTTCTGTGAGGGAAGGAACCATGTCTCCTTGATCATTGATTTATCTCTCAAATGGCATAGAATATTTATTGAAGGAACGCAGGAGTGGAATAGCAAATGAGTGGAGATGGGTCCTGCCTACCTAGAGGTGACAGGTGGGTTAGCTGGGGAGAGAAGAGGTGCACGTACAAAAAGGTAAATAATGACTCAAGGACCGAGTCTCTGTACAAAGCAATGGTATAAAACATTGCAAGACAGCACGTTCAGGCCAAACTTGTGGTGCAGACAGTAAGGGCTGCAGGAACATAGTGTAACTCTGGACTGGGGACAGCAGGAAGGGCCTCTGGAGGAGGTGGACTTTGGGCTGGGCCTTGAGGGATGAGCCCGGTTTGTTGGGTGGAGAGCTCCCAGAAGCTTGCCCCACAGAAGAAGAGCCATTCCTGCAAAGGCTCTGTGTTGGGAATGAGCAAGTCCCGCTCAAGCTCTCCAGCAGAGGGTGCACCTAATTCCAGGACTAGTGGGGCTCAGAGCATCCTGGTCCAGGCTCTGCCCCTCAGTTTGTCTGTCTGATAAACAGAGGCTCAGGATGTCAACCCAAGGGGGTCTTGTCGGGATTTCCTGGGATATGTTTGCACAAGCATTTTGCAATGTGAGAGATGTTCTGCAAATGCTAATGCTCACCGTGACCCCAGGGCTTCCTACAAAACCTGTTCCTCGAGGCAGGCATGGTGTTTGCGCTCTCCACATTTCCTCAAGCTGAGGGACAGCCACTCAAGGCCCAGGAAACTGACAAGGACCAAATCAGCAGCCACTGGTGGAGCCATTAGTATGGCCGAGCCCAACAGGGGACACACGAGGAAGAAGACGTGTCCTAGCCTTCCAGGGCTTAAATAGGAGATAAGAAAAGCTGGTCAAAACTCACTATCCTCTGAAGTTTTATGTATCAGTTCAAAATGATAATAGAACTTTCTGGGATGGTATAGGGTGAACTTAACTACCCTGTTTTTCATGAGGAAGTTGTTTCAATCCCAGAAGGGGTTTAGACTGTACTTCATCTCATTAGAATGAAAACACAGGGGCCCGCCTCATGGCCGAGTGGTTAAATTCGTGCCCTCCGCTTTGGAGACCCAGGGTTTCGCCAGTTCAGATCCTGGGCGCGGACATGGCACCACTCGTCAGGCCACGCTGAAGCGGCATCTCACATAGCGCGACTAGAAGGACCCACAACTAACAAATATACAACTCTGTACTAGGGGGCTTTGGGGGAAGAAGGAGGAAGAAAAACACAACTAGGAATAGATGTTAGCGGAGGGCCAATCTTTTTTTTTTTTTTTTTTTAAAGCAGAAGTTCTTAATTAAAAAAAAAAATGCAGGATGTATCAATAAGCCAGGGCACTGGGGAGCGGACAGGGAGTTAGAAGGGAAACCAGGAGAGGGTGGGGTCCTGGAAGCCAAGTGAAGACGGTGATTCAAGAAGGAAAGAGTACTCACCTTCGTCGAATGCCACTGCGGATGGAGAAGGACCACTCTGCTTGGCCATGAGGAGATAACTGGTAATCTTATTGAGAAAGGTTTCTTTGGGGGATAGAAGTCTGATTGGAGCGGGTTTCCAAAAACATAAATAAAAAGTGAAACTGAATATAGGCAGCTCTTTCAGGAAGTTTTGCTATTAAGGAGATGATGGGCAACAGTCAGAGAAAGAACGATCCAGCGGGGAAGGGGAAAATGATGCAGAAACAAGGAGATAATTGCAGGTCACCATCCTTGAGCGGGTGAGGGAACGCCGGCTCCGGGGAAAGGCGGCAGGGCTGGCGCAGCGAGAAGCACAGGCAGGGGCGCATTGTCTTCCCGGCCGTTTGTCCACTTCCTGACTCGTCCTGGCAGAGGAGAGTGGCCATAGCAGTGTCTCCACCCTATAGCAACAGGGGCAATTCATGGGCTACAGACTCAGGAGTTAAAATCAGGCGCCCAAATCAACAAATAATCTGCCGTAGGGCTAGGGTGAAAACGCGTCATGCCTCTGACAAAAAAACGTAGAAAAAAGCACTTAATTCCCAGAACAACCAATTGGGAGCATGGCTATATAAAAGAAGCTCTGTGCCCCCGCTACAGTAAAAGATACCCCACTTCACCCAAGAAATGGGGAGAAGAGGATTTCATGCTTTTTCCTTCTATGATCATGTCTCAATTCACTGCGAATCAGACAAAACCAAATAAAAACTGCAAGATATTTTTTATCTAATGGACATAGATTTTAAAGGATAATCCTTTATTCACAAGTGTTTGATGAAACAGGCATTCTCTTAAAACATGGGTGGAAGTAAAGATTGGTTCGAGATTTTTGGGAAGCAATATGGCTATATCAAAAGACTTAGGAAGGGCCGGCCCTGTGGCCGAGTGGTTAAGTTCATGCACTCCGCTTTGGAGGCTCAGGGTTTCACCAGTTCGGATCCTGGGGACAGACATGGCACTGCTCATCAAGCCATGCTGAGGTGGCGTCCCACACAACACAACCAAAGGGACCTACAACCAGAATATACAACTATGTACTGGGGGCTTTGGGGAGGAGAAGAAGAAAGAAGACTGGCAATAGATGTTAGCTCAGGGACCATCTTTAAAAAAAGACTTAGAAAAGTTTATCCTTTTGGGGGCTCAGTAATTTCTCCTCTGGGAATCTAATTGAGAGAAACCCCCAGAAACTTGGATAAAGATTTAATCCAACATTTCTCACAAACTTGTTTATGATAAAGGAATAAATATAAGAGAATTCAACGTCTAAATATAGAAGACTAGTTTACAGCATTTTGACATATTCATACTTAATACAGAGAAATGCTTAAAATACGTTGGTAAGTGAAGAAGAGTTACAAAATTATTCAAAGGGAATTATTCAATGCTATCTTAGGGATTGTATATTCATTCTTCAACTATGTATAGTCTAAAAATTACCCTACTTATTGAATTATTTTAAAATTTTAATAATAATATTTTTCTCCATATCTTTAATTGAGTTTTCTTCACAACAACTGGAGTTGGTTTCATTTCCGTCCATTTTTATTTCTTAAGTTCTGTTTTAATGGATATTTTTCTTTCCTTTCTCTCTTTGAGGATTCTAAATATGCCTAAAGTCTATTTTCAGTTCTTACAGAATGAATTCTCCCTATTATTGTTTTTATTGGCTGTCTTTCTTAGCATTGGTTCTTTTTTGGGTCTTTTGGAATACCAGAATGCTGGCTCATCCTGAATGGGGTCTGTGTGCGTGTGCGTGTGCACGTGTGCATGTGTGTTCATGTTCAGCCCTTCTCTTGTACCTTTGCTGTTGCTTCCACCCAGCTTCCTGGACCCCCTGTTTAATATTGGCCTTGTTTTAGTGGCTTGGAGCTCCTGTCCATGACAGTCTGAGGATATTGTGGGTCCAGCCACAAAGCAACAGTTGGCCTGGTCCAGCTCTTGGCTACGAGGCTCTGTCAACTTCTCCTTTTCTCCTAAGTGCAAAATATAAATCCTAGTGCAGGCAATGGTCAACCACAGCTTTCTTCAGCTCTCTCCCATGAGCAGAGGCGTCCCCAGCCCAGGGCTTCACAGCACCTCTCAGCAGCAGGACTCCAAGAAGTCTCTGCTGGCCTCTGGACCCAGAGTGGGACAGGACCTGAGCTTCCGTTTCACTTGCCATTTCACGTTTCTGCTTCATCTCTGGTCAACAGATTATCTTATTTTTGAGAGAAGCTGGTCTTTTAAATTTTTAAAAATATTATATCTGTCATTGCTTTGTGTGTGTATAGATGAGGAGACCTCAAAGAGTGAATGTAGTGCCATCTTAACCAGAAGTCCCAAGTTGCTGTTTCTTACTTTTCTGACTTGTGCTGGTGCGTGTGAAGGAGACATCATTAGCATTGGTGCTGACATTTGCTGACTGCACTGCTTACTCCACTCCCAGTTATTTTTATATGTGCTCTCATCCTCAGGAGTCTTTGCGTGTGTGTGTGTGTGTGTGTGTGTGTGTGAGGAAGATTGGCTCTGAGCCAACATCTGTGGCCAATCTTCTTCTCTCTTTTTTTTTCCTCCCCAAAGCCCCAGTACATAGTTACATATCCCAGTTGTAAGTCCTTCCAGTTCTTCTATGTGGGACACCACCACAGCATGGCTTGATGAGCAGTGTGTAGGTCCATGTCCAGGATCTGAACCAGCGAACCCCAGGCTGCCAAGCAGAGCGTGTGAACTTAACCACTCGCCATGGCCAGCCCCCTCTACTCCCAGTTTTCTCTAGGCATTTCCCACAGGGGGCACTCGGCTCTCTCACATGTCAAATCCGGCCACTCTCGTGCTCCTGGAGCTGTCTACCACCTAGCAGCCATTTGAGGACATCTCTTCCCACTGCACCAGAGCTGATGTCCTTTTGGAAAGCCCCTCCCAGTGCAGGGGTGATCTCATGGGCCTCCAGATATTCAAGACGCCCAAGCCCAAAAGTACCAGAGCTGCCTGAATTCCCTGCGAACGTGCAGAGGATGCCCCTCTCTATTCCGAGAGCTCAGACCGGAGCTCAAGGGCAGAGCTGAAGAACAGACCAGGGCTGTCCTCTCTTTCTTCCCAGGTATTGCCCCAAGCCGGCCACTTCCACTGCTCTCCTCTGGGGCCCCTTTCCCGCAGGGACGCCAGCTCGCGCGATGAGTTCATCAGACACAGCCCCACTCTGGGCTACCTTCTGCATGTGACTGGAAAGGAACACTCAATTTTAGCAGTGATTTCATCTGGGTGGGTGCATTACACTGACTTAAAAAATTTTTGGTATGTTTTTAGGTATTTTTCTTATTTTGTATAATTAATAACTTTTGTAATCATATGAAAATGTTATTGTGAAAAAAGTCTGTCTTTTCAAAATGTTTGTTAGAAGGAAGACAGCTTTAAAAATAATTGTTCACAATGTTTATCTTCCTTTTTAAAACTTGCATTTCGTCCAGAACCAGGATATGAACTAGATGTTTGTCAGAACTTTGGCAAGCATCTGATCCTCTCGCTCTGCTGCTTAACATTTTCCCCTTGCTCTCCGGCTTGCAGGGCAAAGTCCTAGCTCGTTATCTGGCCCCTCCCAGATCCTTCATGATCGACTCCTGCTCCCCTCTCCAGTTCTGCTTTCACGCTTGTCCCTCCCCATGTAATTGTTTAGCTGTACCTGAACTGCTGATAGTTCCCTGAACGCAGAATGTATTCCCATCTTCATGATTTTGTATTTGATCTTCCAGCTGCCCAGAATCTCCTTTTCCTTTTCCACCTAGAAAACTCCTATTCATACTCTAAAACCCATCTCACATCAGTCATGCCCACTGGGAAGTCCCTCCAACACTCTCTTTTTGGCACTCTCTCTCCAACCCATATGTACCTCTGTATCTGAGTTTATTCTGCTGGATTGTTCTACCCATCTCTGTATACCCAGACAGTGGTACTGGTAAGTATTTCATAAATATTTGTTGAAGGGTTGCTGTTAGTGCTGTCTAGTCAATTCTGACTCCTAGTGACCCTGCGTACAGCAGAACAGAACCGTGCCTGGTCATTTTGCGCCGTCTTCTCACCTTCTGATGCTATATCAGACAGTGCTCTGCTGTTATTCATAGGGTTTTCATGGTCAACATTCCAGAAGTGGGTGGCCAGGTCCTTCTTCCTAGTCTGTCTCAGCTGGAAGCTCCGCTGAAACCTGTCCACCATGGGTGACCCTGCTGGTATTGAAATACCAGTGGCCTAGCTTTCAGCATCACAGCAACACGCAGTCACCACAGTGTGACAACTGATAGACTGGTGATGTGGTTCCCTGATCAGGAAAGGAACCTAGGCTGTGGCGGTGAGAGTGCCGAATCTTAACCGCTAGACCACCAGGGCCAGCTGGTGAACTGAGGCAGGGTTATTCATTCCACAGATGTACATGGGGCGCCCACTCCGTGCTGAGCACTGTGCTGGTCTCCTGGGATTCAAAATTCATGAGACACAAACACTGCCTGTAGGCCTCACAATCCAGTGGCGTAGACAGAGGGATCCGCACAGATGAGCACAATGACGCTGGGACACAGGCAGCTCTGTCTCACCTTTTCTCATTCTTCCTTTTCTCCCTAACTGGCCATAACTTGAAGCATAATTCATATTTACTCTTGGCTTATTTCCTCTAAAGAATTTTCCATTTCCTACATTTAGTTTCTGAAATCACTTGATGAAATTCTTTTCTATTTCTCTCTTCACTCTAGTATAAGGAAGACTATTTGAACAGCCAGAGTAGCCCTTCAAACGGCTGCTTCCTAAGCAAGTGAGCGCCCCGTGGCTGGAGGTGTGCAAGTCAAGGCCAGTGGCCACCAGGTGGTTGGGGAAGGATGGAAGAGGGACTGAAGCAACAAAAAGATTGGTTGAACCCTGTGACCTTGAAGGTCTTTCCAATCCTAATTCTAAGGAAAACACATCAAGCCTAAACCAAGATCATGAGAATGAACTCCCAAAATGCTGTCATCATAGCACAAACCCTGGCTCAGGCCCCCTTGAGAGAAAAACAGCTGCTTTTAATCCTCTCTGATACTCTGTCTTAAATCATTTGGACCCATTAGGTTTGACCTCTTGCTGAGTCAGAATGGGAGCCTTTCCAGAGATCACCAGAAGATGAGCCCAGTCCTGTGGACTTTATCTTGGCTTAAGACTGGCTCAAATGAGAACCGCTGAGCCTGGGGGCAGAGGAATATGGGGGTGACAGGAAAGGGACTTTGCTGAGCCCTGCTGGCTCACAAGTCCTGACATGACTCCCACTCACGGAACCCTTTAAAGTACTCCACCACAGGCCACAGAATTGGAGAAATGTCTTCTACCAACTTGTTTTAAAACAACACAAAACCATAATTATTTCCCTCATTTTGGAAATTAACCAGAGACATCTAAAATCACCCATAGGCAGTCCTAATGTGCAACCAACATGCAGGGTTATCAGCCTGAGCTGACCTCTTGCTGATAAAAAGTAAAGAGCACTCCAAATTTTAGTTGCACGGGGCCTTATTTACGCAATGGCATAATTTCTCTTAGATGTTCAACAAGCAGAGCTTGCAGAGCCCCATTCTTCCCCAGGACACTTGGACAGGGCAGCTCTGCATGTGACGGTTCCAATTCCTGTAGGCGTGGAAACATTTTCCCTTTTTCCTTCTAGGTTCTTTGGCTGGTCTAATAATTAAGTTGACATAAGATAGATGAACAGGAGAAAAACAAATTGAATTACATACGTACGGGAGCCTCATAAGAATATGAGACTTGAGGGCAAGCCAGGCAGTCGAGGATTATATGCCATCCTGACCCAAGGAATGGGCTAGGGGCCTGGGGCTTCAGAGGAGGGGAGGGTGAGTCACAGACAAGAAGAAGAGCAGGTGATTGGTAGATAGAAGTCTGCCTTACCACGC